TTCTTTAAAGGCCCTCTTACTTGAAACCTTTAGAATTTTGATATTCTTGAAGCATTTTACTTAGATTTTCATCGAGTGTGTTGATAATATAAAGAAGGAGAAAGATGCCAGAGATTCGGAGACTACGTCAGGTGAATCAAGAAACCATAGGGAAAAAACTAAGAATCCGGGGAAAACTCACAAGACCCATGAAGAAAGTCCGGGTCATCTGTAGTGACCCGGATGCTACCGACTCATCAGAAGATGAGGAAATCGGTGCAAAGAAGGTCAAGCATATTGTTCATGAAATTTGTTTTCCAATTGGGGACTCTTTTTGCCTTCCGGAAGCCCCTGAAATAGAAAACTCAGTTCAGGATTGTAGCAATGCTGCGAAAAACCCCAAGAGGAAAAGGATTTTGAGCATAAATCTGAGCTCCATTCCGGGGAAATGCAGAGGTGTGCGACAGCGTAAGTGGGGCAAATGGGCTGCGGAAATTCGTGATCCCTTCAAAGGAAGAAGAATTTGGTTGGGTACGTATGACACTGCTGAAGAAGCGTCGAGGGCATATGAAATGAAACGACTAGAATTTGAGGCTTTGGCTAAGGCTAATAGAATCGAGTCTTCAGACTTCTCTGACGATTCAAGTGGAACCGTGGCTTCACATACTTCTCCATCTTCAGTTCTTGAAATGGATTCTTCGACTTCGGCTTCTGGTTTCAGTTTCAAGCGTGATGATGATCAGAAGGTTCCTAAAGTTAACTCAGAAGCCAATGCTGCTCAGCAGAATATGACTAATTGGGGAGTAACAGACGAAGAGATTTCATCTCTGCCGCCATTTGTAGAAGGGATGGACTTAGACTTTGAACTTGAGTCACCACTGATGTGGGGTGATTCCGGGATACCAATTGATGATGATCTTCTCAGTGGTTTTCAAGATCTTCCAATTTGTGGGTTGGAGGATTGTGATCAACCTCCATTGCCTGATTTTGAATTTAATTTCGACTGTGCTTGGATGGATCAACCTCCTTGAATGGTGAACCATTCAATATGTCATTCCCATAAGTTTGGCGTCTAAATTATAATATGAATTTGAAGTGTGTTATTCAAGAACTCGCGTACTAAATTCGTCTGTAAATGAATGGACCAGATCTGCCCATATTCGATTTGACCCGATTCGGCAAGAATAATTCAAGGATCGATCAAATCCGATAACTCAACCGATATTAGATTGTAATTTCCATATTCGATTTGCTGTTCATCGAATATAGGATTCAATAATTCAAAATTGAAATATTTTAAACATATTCTCATTTTATTGGAAAGGGGATTTTGAATTTCAATACAAAATTTATTATAATATATATTAATTTTATATAAAAATTTGATAGGTTCTTCATTAAAAGTCATAAAGTATAATACAAATTTCAAAATGAAAAAAATTATGTGTAATGAATTATGCGGTAATAAAGAAAATATATTACATTATTATGACAAATTGGATCAAATTTGACTTATATTCATATTTGCTCCATTTAGTTAACGATCAGATTATTGAAATGAGACCCTAAATTCATCTCCCACTAATTTCATCAAATTCGAATAAAGTTCAATCCATTAAGAGCCCTAGTACTAAATAAGAGTTTTTATAAAAATTCATTCAATGGTAATGATGGAGTTTATGTTCCAACGCGAACGTTATTTATACATCTTTCATTGGATTGTGACATTCTAATGAAGTGTCGAGCTAGAACTCATCTCGACTTGTAATTTGATTTGGCGACTGGTTGGCCTTTTGTCTATTCTTTAAAAAGACTTGGAAAATAACATATTTGGATTGTGACATTTCAATTATTTAAATGAAAAATAATTTTCATATATTGTTTAATAGATGTGCACCCTTTCTATCACCTAAAAGGCACTGATATTATATTTCTTTTAGGGCTAAAGTTTAGAAGTAAGTAAATTTACTTTCTAGTAAATTTTTGTTTTCAAATATATTGGATATGTTATTTCATTTTCGTTATAAGTTGAGAAGTTATTTCTTTTGATAGTGAAGTGAAAATTAGTGTTAAATAGGTAAAATATTTATAAATATTTATTTTAAGCTTAGTCAAATATTTACGTCAGTGATCCTTTTGTATTTGAAATGATGTGTCCTCAAAATTTTAATCTTAAATTATAATTTTCTTTTGGGTAATTATATTACCACTACAAATTTTAATTATTACACCATATTATAATCACACCACAACTAAAATATATTTTTAATAAATAAACCACAATAAATTTACAATTATTTTCCTAATTCATAAAAACTAAAAAAAATAAAAAATGAAAAACAACATAATACAATATTGTGGTATACTTATCATGTGTGTGTGTGAATAAATCACAATAACATTTCAAGATATAATGAAGTAGCATGCCATAATTTCAATGAAACTCCAAAATAAAAACACAACTTACCCACATAAACAAAAAAAAAAATTCCCACAAAATCTTCTAATACTACAAAATGATTTAATAAAATATTGAAAATCTAAAGCCATTACACAGATCACTCATCCTACTGGCTATGCAAAATCTAAAGCCCTTGAAAATCTCCTCACATGTGAATCAATACTCCCATTGTCTTGGTTATCCACTTCAACCCCAATCCCATGTTCCCTCTATATCCCTTACCCCTTACCTAGATGGCAGTCTAAGGGCTCTGAAATTATGAAAATTATTGGGAGTTTTTCCCAATTCTTCATCCGTTTCTTTTTTTTTTTTTTTTTTTTTTTTTTTTTTTCTATCTCTCATGAAGGTAAATTGATATGATTTAAGCTAGTTCAAGCGGCACTAGAAGCTCTATTTTTTTGTATGAATCTTTATTGAAAAAAGTCTAACATGATATTTTAAATAGACTTTTATGTTTTGTTCAAAAATTTATATTGCCAGGGTTGTGAATGGGAATAAATTCTATCAATTTCATCATTGAAACATAATTTTTTAATCGTTATTCTTCCATGGAATCAATTTAATTTCGATGAGAGAGGTTTAATTTCTTTAATGGCCAAACTTCAATGAAAGATGAAGTTTTGAGGGTGGGGGTTGGAGGGATTGGGGAAGAAGATAAATTTTTAAAGGTTTGGTGGAAGAATAAATTATTATACGTGAAAAATATATTAAATCCACTTATGTAATTTTATTTAAGGTTATTTAAGTAAATAAAAAAATTGTGGTGTAACTAACAATTTTTGTAGTGGTAATATAATTACCCTTTTCTTTTACTTATAAAGGCTTTTTCCAAAAATCCAAACAAAACAATCTAGGTTATAAAATTTTAAGATTAATTAATCCCTGTTTGGTTTGGCTTTATGGACAAATCTATCATATTTCGATAGAATATGATAGATTTGCGAATTAAAGAAAAAAATAGGACCCACCTTACTATTGATAAGTGTATTTTTGCACACTTATTTAGATCACAAACATGACTTAATTACGAGCAAAATATTTAAATTGTGACTTAATCTCGTTGAATTCATGCAATATAGGTGTTTCTATGAAAATAGTGGATTCAGGAGAAAAGAGCCAAAAAAAGGACCAAAATGGAGTAAAGTGAGAGTTCAAGGACTAAGGATGCAAATATTCAAAAGTTAAACTAAAAGGCAACCCGGGAATGAAAATATGCTAAGTATGAACTCGAAAGCGATACAAGATGATTGGAAGAAGAAGGAATTGCAAAGGGACCAAAATGAAGAAAAATGAAAGTTCAAGGACCAAAATAGACATACCCTCTATGCGATCGCATAGAGGCTTCCCGAGAATATTTTCTCAAATTTTTTTTACTCTATGCGACCACATAAAAATGTACTGTGCGGTCGCATAGAACAAATTTGGGGGCCAATTCTGCAGTTTCCTTATACGACTGAAACTCTTTTGGTAACTTAATTTTCACGTGATATAAATACAAAAGACGTCCAGAAAGAGGCATAACGTATTGGAGGCAGAAAAACACTTCTTGAAGATGATTTTGAGCGCAAGAATGAAGATTTACACGAAGAGCTTCAAGATTTCATAATCCGGTGATGCATTTTATCCAAAATCTGATGTATTCTTTTATTTTAACCATGTTATGCTAGATTTTCATGTGTTAGGAGATCGATGTACCATGTAATTTGATTTTTAATTTTCTAGTTTTGCAATTTGACATTAAGATATATTTATATTGTTTTGAATTATTTATATGCAATTATTGTTTCCGCAATTAAGGGCCCGTAATTGTGTGAGTTTGAGTGATTTATTTTTGCATTCGAGAGAATTGGAATATGTTCGACATAATATAAATTATCGTAGGGTCCGATAAGGGATAGAAATATACCGCTATGCCCTACGTGAATCTTAAGTGTTCATAAAACCGCATGCATTTTTACATATGCACTTGTCATAGAAATATAAGACGGTGGTATGTAGAAATAGGTTCGATACACCTCAAGAGAGAGTATTGGATAAATTTAGGAACATTGATTTGTCACAATTGAAGTGTGTTGTCACATTGTAAAACTAGGGTTTTAAAGTAATAATTGCATGAAAAATTGTGATCCTAGTATGTTTAATTTCTATTGATTACAACTAACGTGCGTTCTCAACAATTGATTTCATTCTAAAGTGTTAAAAATATTGTTTTGCATATTTAATTTAATTCAATCATAAAAATTGCATAACTAGAGTTTTCTTTCCAAAATTAGGGTTTTCATTACGCTCACATTCACTTTAGTAATTTAGTTTTGGTTAAGGCGACGATAGGTAAAATTGAACTAATCAATCTCTGTGAGATGATATTCAGACTCATTTAATCCACTTTATTACTTGTTAACGAACCGTACACTTACGGTAGTTTTAAATCGAAAGAAATAATTTCGTGAACAAGTTTTTGGCGTCGTTGTCGGGTATTGTAGCATAATTTAAAACAAATAGTCGGCCTATAATTATTTTGTATTTTCACAGTCCATCGTTATTATTAATTAATTGTTGCATGATGCATGCTTGATGAGTGAGTGTTGATTATACTTTTGCATGCTTGTGTGGGCTTGATATCCTTGACAGCTATGATGTGATTATTGGATTGGTATAATTCATAGACTTTGGATATAGTACTGAATGGATTAACCAATACTCATGATGCGATTCTTGACACTATCTATGCACAATATTTATGCTTGACATGTTAGGTAAATGACTGGATTTTGAGCATAAAGTAGGAAAAGAATTATAACCCTCTATTGAATTAACACGTAAATCACCTTAAAACAGTTTGAAATTTCATTGTGTGGATTGCCTAGACCAGTGAGGTGAAAATTATGTGAAAATTTTAAATTGGGGGTTGGTTTTGAAAACTAAATGTCTAGAACAATAAGGGCATAAAATTTATTTGTGAGAATAAGACACTTCTTTTCATACCTTTATAACTCGAGCAAGTAAGCCTGTAAGGATATTTCAAAATCTGGTACCCTAAGGTCAACTGGCCTAGGAGTCACCGGCCTAAAACTCGCTAAAGGGGTCATATAAAAAGCAAGAGAGAAAGAAGTTAATAAAAAGTCATTTGATTGAGCATTTATAACTCAAGCGAATAAGCCTGCAAGAGAGACAATAACATGAAAAAAAACCCTTAGATATTTGGTTGAAGAAACTATACCTTTGAGGTGAGGCAAGTAACCTATTTTAATCTTAAGTGTCGAAGCAATCAAATTTGGGAGAGCTTTCGCTTGTTGAAATATAAACTTGTGATAGTGAGATTAATCCAAACTACGAGAGAGTGAAGACTACAGCTATGTAAACTCCTAATTTTAAAAACACAACCCCAGGATAATTGAGTGAAAAGAATAAGTTGGAGGGATGTATATCTCTCGAGCGAGTAAGGATACATTTGACCACTTGGGGTCGGGACTCAACCCATCATGAATTTGATATGTTGGCATTAATTCACACACACAAATCAAGTATGCATTTAATAGGTAAAGGTTGATGTCATTTTTGCACTGATAAATTTTCATAAAGTCAAATACTTAGTCCAATCCTAAGCCACGGTAGGGTATTAAGCCATGTTTGTTCAGAATTAAGTCACTATCTTGTTTGAGGACAAACAATAGTTCAAGTTTGGGGGGTTTGATAAGTGTGTTTT